TTTTATTTGTCACATCACTGTTTTCTTTTTTAACCACTCCTCGTCACCATCACCCTCTCTATTCCCCCCTTTTCACTCCCTCTAGCTCGCTTCAGGGTTTTATTGCCCCGTCCTCTGCCTCACCTCACTAATAAAGTTCCCACACGTAATAAAGCTTCACTTTTCAAAGGAGCAACAGCCTCCAAAGCCTTCCTGGCCTCTCTTTCTTTTTTCTCCCTCTTTTTTTTTTCTTTTCCCACCCGGCTCTGTCTGCGCTCCTCAGCCTGTTGGGCTTTGCTGCCCGGCTTGCCTCTCCCCTGACAGATTTATGACGCTTTTGTGGAATTTGCTAAAATAAAAAAAGAGGGAGAAAAGACAGAGGGGGTAACCATCCGGCGTGCCTTGCTTCTACAGGAGGGAAATGCAAAACGAATTGCGCCCTGATGCACTGAGAAAACACGCTAATACATGACTTCAGCTGGTTAACCAGAGGGAGGCCAGCTGCTCTGTTTGGCTACTCTCTGATTTCCAAAAAAAGTAAAAGATAAATACGGAAATATCCGCATTACTCTTAATGTGCCTGAAAGCAAGACGCCCAATAAAAGAATCAAACACGTCGCTGACTACTGTCTGTCAGTCACATGAAAATATTAAATTTACGCAGTGGGAAAAGGCTTAGTGGGGTGCGGATAAAAACGAGCAGCCGTGGATAAATGTGTGTCTCTCAGCTATTCTCATACAGACAATTTACTCAACTCAAATCAAAGCAGCAATCATTCTGCTGCATCTTTATGTGTGTATACAAAGAGGCACAGAGCACCATGGCTCCCCATGTAGTTTCTACAAGCCCTAAACTGTCACCAACCCCATGTGTCCACACATATAGGCTGCAATATATTACGCCAGCATTATGAATATTATCGCCCTGAACCTGTATGCTACAGAGCTAATAATAAGCTGTAAACACAAGAGCAGCATGTACCATGGCTAATGTGCAGCTTTCTCATCCAGGGGAATATCTGTGGTGTCTGAGCCTCGCTGCCCGTCGTGCTGCCAGCGGCTGATCCCGCCGGGCCGCCCTCCTGTTTCTGCACGGGTTGCGGGTGCCCGCTCCTGGGCGTCGTGTTGCTTCCGTGGCCGGCGTCCCGGTTGTGCTGCAAATCCTCGGTCTCTGGCGACGCGTCGTCCAGCTCCGTGAAGCACTGCGCCGTGCCGCCGCCGCCGCCGCCGGAGGAGGTGGAGGACAGGTTTGGAGAGCTGAGATTACCGCTTCCTGGTTGCTCCGAGCGGGGAGACGAGCTCTGGGCGCCCAGCTTGTTCTCCCCACTACCGGGTGACAGGAGGGAGTCTGCCGCCGAGGCGAGGGAGCAGCTGGACGGCTGTCTGAAACCCCTCTCCGGGGCTCGGGATCCGAAGCCCAGGGAGTCCCCGACGACCGAGCCGCCCCCGAAGTGTCCTCCGGTGTTGGCGGCGCCGCCGCTCCCCCCTCCCCGGTTGGTGACGGTCAGGTCCATGCCATTGTAGCTGTAGCCGTAAGAGCCCGTCGCATGGTGCATGGTGGCGGAGGAAGAGTCCCTGTACGTCCCGCCGTTCATTGCGCCGCTGCTGGCTCCATAATTTAGCAGTTGATAGTCGGGGCCATTTGGGTAGCGCCCCGAGAACGAGTTTACAAAGTAAGAGCTCATTTAGGTTGTTTTAGAGAGTTGCAGGCTTACAGTTGAGTACTAAGGGGCGCTTGATTTGTTAGATTTCTCTTGGTCGTTATAACGCGGGTACTTTCAACGATTTATGATGTATTAGTGAATTATGGCGTTGCACTGTACTTCGTTTTTAGCTATGTATGCGCCGTCCAAATATGGGGGTGGGGTGGTGTGTGTGTGAGTGTGTTGGATTGAGGGGTGTGTGTGTGTGTGTGTGTGTGATGGGGGAGGTGAGGGGTGAGGTGAGGGAGGAGAGAGAGAGACACAGAGAGAAGGGGGGGTGCGGTCACGTGCTTTTGTTGACCAGTCGTAAATTCTCGCCGATGACTTTGGAGAGGTAATTCATGCTCTGAGGTTTCTAATGATGAAGGGATGGGCGGGGGAAGCGCTCTCTCTCTCTCTCTCTCTCTCTCTCACACACTCTCTCACTCACCCTTCATTCTGCTGCTGGAGGTGCCGGGGGTGAGCTCAGAGCGCCACCTACTGCAAACATAATTTATTGCACTGATTAAAAAAGACAGAAAGAGAGGGAGAGGGAGCAAGTAGACGCTCCAAAAAACAGTCTTAGAGAGCTGTTATAAAATATTATCTCTCTCTCTCTCTCTCTCTCTCTCTCTGCGAGTGTGTGTGTGTAATTGTGTCTGTCATCGCTCAGGCCTGTTAACTGACCTTTGCATAGGCTGGAAATTAGGAGCCAGTGACTATAAACCGTAATAAATAACCCGTTAATAATGGAATATTGAACACAGCGGATCAACCAATAAACCAATATGAACAGCCTTCCACCTTCAGCTGAAAGTTTAGGATTTTCATCCGCAATTAGGCCTGCATGGAAAAATAGAAAAACACCAATACTACTACTAATAATACAATTTTATATATAATACATGATATATAAATTATAATATAATATTATTATCATTATTATTATTTAATAATAATAATCAGACGCAGAAAAAGACAAAAATCAGAAGCAATAAAAATAACAACACCAATCATGTGTCGGACGTCACAAATATGAACCATTTACTGCGCTATAAATGCCGCAAAGGCACATTACTGCGTCATTATGCTCTTCTGTAGCACCGTAACAGCTGCAACAAGATACAGGGACGCAGTCAGGGCCGCGTGAATAACCCACTAAAACAATTACATACCGTAGATAACGGCAAAATGACTTTTGTTAAAATCTCTAACAATATCATCCATATTTACCCCAGTCATCCACATGAAATACAAAAAGTGGCCTCATTAATTAATTAATTTATTATTAATATTGTTCCCTCTGTGATGTTGTCACTGACAGACTCACTGCAGCATGCATACATCTTCACCATCATATACCAAAATACTGTACAATGACTTTTTTTTATTTTACTTCAGTCACCTTCATGACCTAGACAATAAACTGTTACAATGAGCCAAACTAACCATAATTTTAACCATAACTTAACCACCCCCACCACACACACATTCACATAAACACTATGTGAAGCCACCAAGTCATGTCTGGGAAGGAAAGTCCGATTTGACCTACTACTGTGCATCTTTCTTTTTTCTTGTCTGTCGTTCTTTCTTTCTTTCTTTCTTTCTTTCGTTCTCTCTGTCTCTCTATCCTCCCCTCTCCCTCCCTCTTTCTCCCAGCAGCCTCCCTTCCAGCTGCAGAGGAGGAATGTTAAACCTGATCTGTGACGTCCACACTGGATGGAAATCTACTGATTTATGATTTGTTGATTCTCGGGTTGGGATGCATTTCAGCCCCTTGTGTCTGAGTGTGTGTGTGAGTGTGTGT